ATTTCCTCGCTATCTCATTCAGAATCCTATTTTAAATATGTTTCTTTTGTTTCTTTTTTGAGATTGAAATAGTGTTTTTAGCTTAGTAATCACGATAACAGTAGTTTAAATTGAAAAAATGTAGACATAATTTGTGACGCTGTCATCTTCTTCAAAAATCAGTTTAATTAATTGAGAAGACTTAATGTAACTGAATTATCTTGATTAATCATGCAAAAGCTTTGATTAAAATTAAACAAGTCTTTTTTGTAAACAATTTTTCTAATGCAAACTTTTTTTCACAAATAAATCGTTTTGTCATGTTCATCTAATTTGAATTATTAATGATAATTTTAATTTGTACAAAATTCAGAAATATTGAATGGAATATAGCGGTCATTTACAGCTAAATAAGTTCAGTGGAACTGAAAAATATTTTCTAGAAAAAAAAGGAAATTGGAAAAGAAACGGATGAAAGAACAGAATTGGTCAAGGACTAATAAAGCAAATAAGACACGAAAACTCGTTCCTAATCTCAAGACGATGAGTTTATAATTTTTGAATTAAATGCTAATTTAGGTAGCTGTTTTCTTTATGACGCTCTCTCATGCTTATATTACAACAATTTTCATTTAAAAAAAAAGATCCAATTTTAATTTCAGTACTAAATTTCGATTAAATTAATGATCAGAGGACAAATTAATTGAGAAATATTTAATTTTAACAATGTTTTTAAATAGAAAAAACGTTTCTTGCGTGGAAACCATGGTAATCTTGTGCAAAAATCATTGCAAGCATGATTTTCTTATATCAAATAATCATAATAATGCTATAATTTCAATATTTTCTGTGTTTGCCATAAATTTGCTGTAATGAAATGACGATGAAAAAAGAACAGAACGGAAAAACACGAATTACGCTTTTCCGATAATATTTTCTGCAAATTGCTATTATCACTCAACAGCAAAATGTTTAAATCAAAATAAAAAATAAAAGCTGAGTCGGAAATAAAAATATTCACAACAAAGAACAAAAATAACAATAATACTGTTAAAAGTAATAATAAGTATGATTCAACACAGAAAATTTATTATTTTTTTCAAAACTTCTTAACTCAGTTGAGAAAGTAACGACAACTTCATTTCATCTTCTTGTTCTTTTCTAAAATTTAATTACTTCACGAGCTGAAAAATGGAATATTTCAGGCCTAAAAAACTATTTCAAAATATATTTGCGTTGCGTTAAATTTTTGCAAATCAGTAATGCAATGCGGAATAGTTTTTTAACGCTTGCAAAAAAATTTGTAATTCAAAATTTATTATTTGCAGGAAAAAGAACATAACAACATAATTGCTTGCTTAAATTCAATTACGCACAGCTTCCAACAACACTATTAGCATGAGTGCGTTATGAGAAAATATAGAAAAAATTTTCTATAAACATTTATCTACTATAGTTTTGCTCTTTTTCTCTCGTGATTTCATTTAAATTGGCATCATTTGATCATTATAATTTCCAATATTATTGTATTGATGTGTAGGAAGAAAAGAAAATTAATTTTTCATAATTTAATGAATGAACAATTTTATGAAAATAATGTAATCAAACGACTGCAAGAACAATTCAAATGATTATGATATCTTATTTTATCGAAAGAACAAAATCACTGCACTGATCGCCCAACAATGTTTTTGATCACGTAAATCGACGGTCTATAAAATAGCAATATTTGAAAGTATTTTTTGTCATTAAATAAAACTATACTTTTCATTAGAAATAAAAGGCATTGTTGAACTTTAGTCAAATGTAATCCCATTTTAATTGCTGAAACGGTGAATTTGCAAAGAATCAAATCATTATTTCGCTTAGCTTTTTGTCGTACATATTATACGCCGATCAGCGATTTACTTATACCTCAATCACGATTTTTAAAAAAACACAAATGATACATCAACAACTAATTTTTATAATGTTCTTTTGCAATTTGACTCAAATTAAAATCTAAAATATTCAAATTTGTTTTAAAAAAAGCCTTTTCAAAATAGGTATACAAAAAATGTTCCATAAAAGTACATGTCAATAAAAACAAGAATGATAAACGGAGAAGTGACCAATTACCAGAAAACATAAAAATTAGTGGTAGTTACTTATTGTGAAGATGAAGCAAAAAAATTTTTCTAATTCTCTTTTTTAGATTAAATATGGACACTACATGTAGAAATTGCGCATTCATTATTGAACAAAATACCAGAAACAAAATTGGAAATACATATCAACAATTTATTTATTCAAAGATACTGCAAGTACAAATAATATATTAGATTGCTGAATCAATAAGGAGTAACTTCAATTGCGATAAAATTTTGACGTTAAAAAAAGTAAGTCAGTAATTACTTTTAAAGTGTTATTCATGGAGAATAAAAGAATGTATACTACAATTTTATAGTAAAGGCTAATTTTATTGGTTGTATTTGTAAAAATTACTTAACTATAAGAGATTAAAAATTCCATTTCTTTCTTTAATTAGCATAATATTGACGTAATTTTCAAAATACGGAAAAAAAGGACAATGCCATTTTCAGTTTCTCAATGCAAAAAAAATTGATGATGAGATAATAATTGCTCGTCAGAACCACATTTCCTGAAATTTTTTTCAAAATATGAAAGAAATTTCTGTGAAAAATTTTAATGAAAATTGAGTTCTTCATTACTTTTATCGTATTTGCGCAATTTGTTAAGAAACTAAAAACTTTTACATCCTTCACCAAACTCGTTAAATTTTACAAAAAGTAAATTAATTTACGTATCTTCATTTCAATACTGAGTTTGTCTACATTATTTAGAATAAATTTAAGTCTCTGAATGATAAATGACGATATTATATGATGAATTATATGATGTATTTTCAATTTTAATTTTGGTAGAAAGTAACTGTAAGTTGATTGATTGATGAACTCTTATTGATCACCAGTAATAAAGGATATTGGCAGTGATAATAATAATAATTGAAAATACAAGCATGTTTGACACTATTTTACTATATTTCCGCGGTTCATGAGTCGAATTAATTCTATATAAAGCATTTTCATACCATTGAAAGGCAAAATAATTGCTCAAAAACAGTGCCTTATTATGATTATGCCAACAATTTGTTGAAAGAAACATGTATAAACAAGAAGAAATGATAATAAGTAATCAGTGAAATGCAACATTGGATGATTTGCGATACTATAGAAAATAATGAAAATGATAATTGTGGTTAATGTTGCAAAGAAACAGGTTATCAATAATAACTATGCTTTAGAAATTGCGCTCGTAGAGGTGTCATCAATAACTTTAATTTTTTCTAAATTTATTTGATTTTGAAATTGTAGAAAAAATATATACTACTTATTTTATTGCCTAAACTTCAGAAGAGAATTAATTTCGTCCTTAATAAAAGATGAGAACCCAAAATGTGCTATATGTTTAAAAGTTTTTATTTCCCATTTTGATCAAAAATTGTAATTGAGTTTTGTGTCCATAACTTACGTATAACTTTTTGCTAATGTTCTTAGACGAAAAAAAATTACTTTTTTGCTGCTATATAACATGAAATTATCTTTGCCATGACATAAATGAAGATTTGACTTACGAGACTGATACTTGGATTATGTTTCATTAGAACTTTTTTTTCGGTTTCTAATTTACGACCATGAAATTGAACAAACTATTAATACTTCCTTGTTGATTTACATATTTTTACGTCATCCTCCAATTTTATTTTCAACGCAATTTCAGAAGACAAATAAATGAACTTCTGTTATTATTTCGTCAATTATTTGTGCATCAAAAATTAACTTTGTGGAAGAAAAATGAGATTGGCATAGAGCAAATTGTTTTCAAATGACATTCTGGAATGCATTCAACTATCATTTCGTGTAAAACTTTCTTCTAAAAAGGAATTTGTGTAAATGGTTTTTTAAGTGTTGTCGCTGAATGTTTTGGTTTGTTTATTTAATTTTTATTTTCGTAAAATAAAGCAAAATACTTTTAGTGCATTTGACTTAAACAAGTAATTTATTGCGAAAATTTTCCGCCGTTTATTGTCTGAGAAATTTTTCGTTGTTTATTGTTCTTAGTCCACAAAGTAATTTTGGTAATAAATATTTTTATTTTCATCTAACAGAAAGAACTTCCAATAGTTAAACATAAAAAAGATCTGTAATATATGTACAAAGTAGATTTTTTCTTATGAAATTCCCTTCCCAGAATTTATTTCTAACTTTTGAAATCCAATTCTGATTTTATTCAATACTTCACTTTATGTTATTTTTAACAGGCACGAATTATCAGCATTGTTATCAGTAAAATACACGTGTTAAAGTTTAATACATTTTGACACCAAAGAAGTTAACACCTCAAAACAAGAAGTTTTAATTAATCTCTGAAATTTTATTGTCACGAATGCTCGAATTTGAAACAAAATCAAATAACAACATTTTTAAACTGGCAGCTGCATCTCATATTCGTAAGAATGAAATTGTATTTTTGTTTGCCCTTTATCATTTCTTGTAGCAAATTGCTAAAAAGTATTGAAAAAATTTAAGTGATGAAGCTCATCAAAAATTGAATTATATTATTTAATTTATTTAGGGATCTTTTACAAAATCAATTTAAAAAAATTTTTTTTGTTTATTTCTGACTAAAAGTTGAACAGGCAGTACCCGTATGCTGGTTGTTTCTCTGAAATAAATAAAAGAACATTAACTTTAATTGCTTGTGAAACTAAATATTTATCAGTTTGAAACTTTTCAGGGTCTAAGGGCAGTTTTATTCTTTCGAAAAACTTATTCCACCCATTTTCAATAACTTTAGTAATTAATTGTTTATTAAATAATTGATACATAAGCTTCTGGAAAAGCACCAAAAAATCAGCAAAAAAATTCACTACTAGTAACTAGTAGTTTTCTATTTTTGAAAGCGACTATATGAAATAATGTTTAATTTATCGAAACAAAAAAATTGTGCTCTTTAACTATAAAATTATCAAATCTTTTTCAGATGTAAAAAACCAAAACATTTTGGAACCGATTAACAAGATGAGACTGTAACCTGGAAATACCTTTGAAATGACATAATAGGTCTTAACTCTCAATCCTAATGAAACTTTTGTTAATTAATTTAACAAAACTGTGAAACTGTAGCAATCGCTAGTTATAGTTTGCTTTTATTAATTATAAGTATCTTATGTAAAGATCATTTTCATAAGAAATGTATTTATAAATTTATTTAATATGAGTATTATGAAAGATGGAAAAGATTTCATTGCTATTATGTGAGCATAAGCGATAAAAAATTAAGCAAAATTTATGTCTTCAAAAAGCACCAAATCAACGTGCAACAAATAGTTTGCAAATAATGAACACCATTTTTTTAACAAAATCTGAGAAAAAATTAACTCTCTTTGCAAATTTTAAGCAGTTTAAGAAGAAAATAAAGCTTTGCAAACGTAATCAGAAGTATCAATGTGCATTATTACTTTATAAATCCATCAAGAAATGTTCATTGAACCTCAAACATTTTCAGTTTAATAGCAGCAATGAGTAAAACAAATAATGAACTTTCCGTCAATAAAATAAGTGTCATTTCTACTTCTATGCTTATTTGAATTGATTAGTTCACAATTACAAAGCTTAGATTGTTATCCCTATTGTCAGTACTTATTCTTATTTCTTCCATCATCATCAATTTTTGTTCATTTCTCTCATTTACACCAAATCTGTGTAATTAATTAACACTTTTAACGATTAAAATGTAATAATTTATTTGCTTGCGCTACCATCACTTGTCTTCTTCTTTCTCATCTTTACCATTTTTACTCCTGCTTTTCTTAATACTCTCATCTTTGTCCTGATCATCTTTATCTCTCTGTTCCTCGTCCTCTTTTGATTGCTTTCTTTTTTCTTCTTTTTCATCCTGTTCCATCAGTTCTTTCTCCTTTTTTTTAATTTCTTTTCGTTCTTCCTTTTCCTTTTCTCGTCTATGCACATAATCAATCATCATATTGGTCATTGGTATGTGAAGCATTGTTAAGCCAAATGATACAATACTTCCAATAATGAAGAATATTACGAAAGGTGCAATAAAGTTGCCAACACCACTCTAAAGTGAATACATTTTATTTTTGAAATTCTTTAAACTATGATTAACAGTGCAGTTAGGCGAGCAGTGAACGATTGAGAGAGGTAATAAGTTACTTGTACTATTTAATAGTTTACTTTAGGTTAAAATAAGCTAAGATGAAAGTGCAAAGAGGCTAATTTAGATGCTGAAATGCTGCAGAGATGAATGAAGTCAAAGTAATATAAACAAGTAAGTGCAAAAAGAGAGTGAACAAAAATTTGATCACTATTAAAGGAGAATTAAAATCGGACATGCTTATTTAATAAAGTGAAAAAATATGGGAATAGAAAGAAGAAAACATTCAATTGATAAGAGAAATTGACTTACTCAATTCTTTTATAATGTTGTGATAAAGTAAAAAGGCGATATTATGAGCATACTTAGAGGATTATTTATGTTACAAAACTTATACATATTTGGATGTACTGTGTAAGTACACACTAATAAAATCAATCATGAATTTACGAACATAAGCATAGCTAACTCCTCGCGGCTCAAGCACTGACATTATCGGCAACCACGGCCCCTCACTTCGGTTCACACTTGCAAAAGAATGTAGAATAAACCTATACATTACATATATACTTTAACCGTACATTTGAATATCAACTGCCTATCTTTATCATTATGCAAATTTAGTGATATCAAACATACTGATGTTAGAAAAATTTTAGTTCAAACGACGATTATCAACTGCATTCGTAGCATAATTTAATTCGCAGTCATTGCTCATTATTTTTTTAACTTTTCATTCTGTGACTTGTGCATAGCGTAAAAATAACAATGCAACCTTTTATTACATATAAAAGAGTGTGAAATTCTCACAATACTTCAGTTCATTCACTTACTTGATTTAAAATTATATCATTCAATCGATCAACTAAGATTTTGTGCAGATGTGTTGTATTTCATCAAGAATTTGAGAAATCAAAATAAACCTAGAAGTGTTATATTTCTCCAATACAATTATTCATGTGGATGTACCAAAAGCAGCAAAACAAATTGGTATTTGATTCCGCAATACTAAACTTCTTCGACATCATTAAATTTTCTCAGTAATACTTATATAGTTACATGTGGACTTCACATTAGCCATTACTTTGTCAGCTGCAACGAAAGAATTTGACAAACAGTAAATATATTATTACTGAAATATAGATACTGCACCAATTATGATTTAAAGAAGGATCTAAATAGCAAATCCCTACTATATGATTATAATTACCCTTTTTATTCTTGGCAGAATTATTATCCCTTACTGTAATATTTTTTGTTTTATCTCATTCAGTCTATTGCTTAAATACCTTTCACCTAATAGTAATCACTATTAACTGTAGCTGTTGTTACACGATTGATGAATACTGTATTGCAAGAACAACCGAACGAAATAATGTAAACATTTCATTAAATAAAATATAAGCATCATTTCGTTTTATTTGTGAGGAGTTCTGTATGTGTACAATGAATATAAACTTCAACTTCAACCTCAATGTCATATCAATTATCAGTTTAAAAGGAACATTTGGCTAGAAAAGGATGTCACGAGACATTTTTCATTTGCCGTTAAGTTATACAAAAAATGTGAAATACATAATCAATTTCATTCAAAAATTAATTTATCGCTAATATAACAATATGCTTGATCATATGAAAGTTAAAACTCCTTTAATGATTTTAATAATCTGTTACACAGCTTCATTAATTAAAAAACATGTATACAAGTTACGAAACTTTTTTCACGTGATAGATTAAACAATGAAAATTGAATCCTCAAATAAAATTTTGTCCTGAATTGAAGAAACAGGTAATGAGCTAAAAATACTTAAAATAGTCAACAGAAATTTATGCCAATTGTAACTCTGTGAATGCCAATCAGATCGTCAGAAATAAACTTGATGCTTTTGTCAGCATTTGATTTTGGGATCCAATATTTTTGATTAATTCGATCGTTAGTCGGCGCAGTGATAGATAAAATTATGGGTAACAATATGAGAGCATGAAAAACACCAATTGTGATTACTAAGAAAATTGTTTTGAAAAACACAAGCACCATATAAGAATTGATAAATGCAAGCACCATAACACCCAATATTGTCGACAAACTGCCAGATATAACTGTAACAGGATATCATCACAATGAATCCATTATTATTGTTATTATGAATATAGATTTAAGTGAGTAAATTAACTGACTCTCTAAAAGAACAATCAACTACAAATTTAAATCAAATGATCCTTCTGATATAAATGCTTTTTATTAAATGACATAGTCGACAGTTTTCAATAAAATCTTAACCAATTAAACATCTAGTGAAATTTTTATCAGTCAAATGAGGTTCATAAATTCCTATTATAAAAAAATTTCTCTAGTGAATTACTTTTGAACTTATGTTGTGCTCTATCAATGGTATATTATATTCCAAAACTAAAATATCTCCTACAACATGCCAGTTTTATTTTTGTTACATTGAGCATAACAAAAAGGTCATTAGATGTCTTACTTGGACATGCCAGCTTTTCCATTACTTCAATACACCGATCGACTGGTGATAAATCTTTTGGATTACATACGAAACCATATGTGATATGCGCACAATATTCAATGGAAAAACCAATTGCCATTATCATAGTTACCATTGATATAGGATCTAGTTTAACACTCCATAATGAAAGATAACCAATGACACCTTAAAGTTTGTGCACTTCAATTATTCGTTTTTATAGTTTTTTAGAGAAAATTATCGTTTTACTTACACGCCGAAATATTATACTTTTTATATATAATTTCAGCCAATAATCAGTAGCTCCTTACCAATATCCATTGTAATAATTGCGATAAAAATCCATAATGTACATAAAGGGCCTGGTATAAACAACAAAGAAATGATGACTAGTACTATGACCGCAATACTATCATTTTGCAGTGTATTTGGCAAAATTATATTTAACTGCAAATCTTGTTTCAAGTAGAAAATAAAAATGATTGATTACAATTATTTCACAATAAAGAAAACTTATGAGTTAAACTTTTGATTGAAAAACAATCTAAAAACTTTGGAATAACGTCTGAATTTATGTACGTCTTGAGTCATTTTCATAAAAATCAGAAAAATACGAATTTTCACATATTTCCAAGGATAAAAAATGAATGTTACAAGATGAAGACAATATGAAAATTTTTATAAATTTATTTTACCTGATCAGCAATCATCCTACTATATTCATAGGTGAAAATTTGCATATCATCATACTTTGCGGCAATTGTTCGAAGTATTCGTGATTCGATCACTAAGTCACTAGCACCACTAAAATTTGATATGCCAATGCGAAACCGAAATGATTTCAGAGTTAAGTTTTCTGGATCGCCTTCATTTTCCCAAACAAAATCTTGTGACCTGCAACAGTTGTCAAGTAATTATTCGAATAACTGTACTTCAGAAATCAAATTCAAAAGGCAGATATCTTTTAAAACTAATGAGACTGCGTTGTAATATATGTCATCGGATGAAAATTGATCAGCAGGATAGGATATAAGACAAATTAGTTTTCTTTGAACTTTTAACAATTAATGATTAAAAATTCAAAGTGGAAATTGGTGATTCAAAGTGGAAATTGGTGATCTGAAGTTCAGAATTAAAAATTAAATATGAAATGAGTGTAGAAAATGATATGCTTCCATACTTAAGACTAAATATATCTCATGTTTAAACTTTATGCCAAGACATGACATGCAACAAAAATTTAACCAGATATAGAAAAACTCCAAATTAACCAACTGTAATCAAGATGCGAAAAAACTTCAATATATGATTGTATACAACACGTAAATCAAATAAGTAACTAGTAATTTCAAGCAAAACATCATATCAGTTCAATAATCTTCAAATTTTTATCTCACCATAATTTGTAAAATGCATAAAGTTTTGACCACCGATATACACCTTCAACCCAAGATTCATGATTATCTTGAAGATACACACTTGTCAAATTAGCATATTTTTGATATTCACGAGTCCAAACTTGCGTTGCTTTCGGTCCAATTGCAAAACGCATGTTTTCAAAGTCGTAAATCATCTGATCTATCCGTTTGCGATTTATAGGTTTTGTCATATCAGGTGCTTTTACTACTGCAATATCGACCTGAATGATGGGTTTATCCTAATTTGTGTAATAAATAAAAGATAATGCAAACATCTGTAAAACATTTTAGTAGAAATGGAAAGTGCAAGAGTCATCAAATAATCGTACCATAATCAGAAAATTGACGTATTTCTTCGGAACATTTTAGTCATAAATTACTGTTAATGAGAACTTCAGTAACTCATTCGTTTTTACAATTATCTTAAGCTGAATTCTATGTACGTTCTCTGATATTTTTGCATACAATTATAACTCTTTTACAGCGGTTGAAATGATAATATTTTACATGTAACAGATGAAAACATAAAAATGACCTGATCACCACCATGAAACAGCTCAAGCTCAATGGCAATTGTGCGCACAACCGGATCTGTATTAATTAGTAATTTATCATAATCCAAGCCTTGCTCCATGCCAATAATTCCATATGTAGCTAACTAAAAGTACAGCATCAAATAATGAATAGTTCTACAACATTTACACTTTATAATTTAATTAAAAAAAAGCGCGTCAACAGGAAGTATTTCTTACCGCAAGGTAAATGATGAAAATTGCTAAGACGATGATTTTTGTACGTATATCCAATAAAATTGGAACATAAATCTTTCTATAAATGAGTAATTTCTAAGTATGTTTAAGATAAGATGCAAATGATATTGTTAATGCTAAGCATTAAAAGTACTAGGAAATTATTATTGATAAATTTGGCATTTATCGATAATTCAATTTCATTACGCTTCAATTTTCATGCATTATAAGCGTTATCT